TTATCTGGCATCCGACCAATAGGAGCGCTTAGACGAGATATCCTTGTACTCTTGTAAAACGGAGGAGCAAACGCTGATGTAATACTTTTTTCGCGTTTCGCCGGAGGAGCGATCGATCGTAGTAGTAACGGGACGAAGTATACTTTCGCGGAACGATCAATAAAAGATAACTTCGCGCACCGTGCAGCCCGATAATGATATCTACTTGAATATTTGAACCTTTATTTCGGGAGACTCTTCCCAGCTGACAACAATCTCCCGGCGTCTTGGCGAGATTCCGGTGCCAAGGACCAAACCACGTGGGCGAGAGAAAGAAAGAGAGAGAGAGAGAGAGCAAGCGAAAAAGACGGAGAGACGGAGAGAAAAAAACGACGCATGAGAGCGAAGAGTTACGTGCGTCGTCCAAGTGCGCGTGCAATAAATATCGCGCGTATGTTCGCTCGACCTTATCTCTCCCCGTCTCGTTTTATTCCGATCAGCACCGACGAAATCCACGCAAATCTGAAATCATTCACGAAACCGCGGCTGCCGCCGGCTCGTTTCTTACTTTTCCTTTCCATTCTTTCTTTTTCTTCTCTTTAGTGCACCTCACGACATTATCTCAGGACGCAGAATGTCGCGCGAGACATTCGGAATGTCATCGGTATAATTAACATTCGCCGTGGACGTCTATTCCGTCAGCAGAGCGAGCGAGAGACAGAGAGAGAGAGAGAGAGAGAGAGAGAGAGAGAGAGAGAGAGAGAGAGAGAGAGAGAGAGAACGAGAGAGAGAGAGAGAAAGAGAGGACAAGAAGACAGGAGAAGGAGAGTATCAATGCACGATTAATTGCCCCGTCTGGCGCGGATGTGGACAGCGATAACGATATTCAGACGGTGCCATCACGCGCGAGTTCCTCCGCGAAAACGTGCGAGGCGCAGGGAAGATATTTAACTTTCGAGGTCGCAAAAAAGTTACGACGTCAGGGGACGTCTCTCTCTCTCTCTTCCTCTCTCTCTCTCCTTCCCTCCCTCTCTCTATCTCTCTCTCTCTCTCTCTCTCTGGAAGAAGAAGAAGAGGAAGAGGAAGAAGAGGAAGAAGAAGAAGAGGAAAAAGAGGAAGAAGAGGAAAAAGAAGAAAAAGAGGAAGCAGAGGAAAAAGAGGAAGAAGAAGGAGAAGAGGAACAAGAAGAAAAAGAGGGAGAAGAGGGAGAAGAGAAAGCAGAGGAGGAAGAAGAGGAGTAAGAAGAAGAGGGAGAGGAGGAAAAAGAGGGAGAAGAGGAAGAAGAGAAGGAAGAGGGAGAGGAGGAAGAAGAAGAAGAAGAAGACGGGAGAGGGAGAGAGATAAAGAGAAAAAGAAAAAAAGAAGAGACCGAGAAAGAAAGAAGAGAGAGAGAGAGAGAGAGAGAAAGAGGGACATAGACGGGAGGACGCAGATGATCGCCATCCCATTATAACCGAAGACCGCCTGGCACGACCCAAAATAGTCCACGTGGGACTACGTCACCGGCGATTGGACTACCTAGCATCGAAAATGCGCCGCTGCGAACGAGACACGTTGAATCGGCCTCGCCTGACGAACGCGCGCTGTTACGTGCCGCAATATATATAGTTGTATTATCTTATATGAATAATCGCAATAGCGACCACGACGTATATTCCTTCATACCTGCCTTATCTAATCCTGATGACCGATCTTATCCTAAAATAACAAACTAATAGATGTCATATCCCCGAATTCCTGCCGAATCTCTCATCATCAGCCATGACTACCCTCCGCGGGGATTTTCTCTTTTCCCTTCCCTTCCTTACCGTCATTTTTCCCATGCTCACCAAATCAATTCCCTGCTAGCACCCCTCAAGCGAACACCTAGTCTCTCTCTCTCGAGCGGTATTACACTCTTGTTGAGAATTATAAAATAGTCAGTTAACAGTCGGAGGCATAAAAGCTGATTTCTCGTTCCTCCCCAATATTCGTTTCGCCGCATCATAAGCTGTGGCAAACGTAACAATTGGTGGCAGCGGTGGGATCAAGAAGACGAAATAAAAACGACACGTGGAAGGAACGCATAAGAAGAGACAGACATTAAGAAGACTGTTAAAAGACTAAGTTATCATCGAGAGGACAAGCAGTTGAGCCTGAGGAAATTGAGTCGAGAAAACTTCATTAGTCGCAAAAATTAATGAAGCAGAAAACTCAAGGTCAGCCGCAATCCCAAATCAGTGGACTCAGCCAGGGACGTCGAGCATATTGCAGTCAGAACCTGCTAACATCCTGAGATCCGATTGACCGATCAACCCCCGACGAACGGACTACAATTCTCGAGGAAAAAGGCATAAGAACTCCAGGATCTTTTCGAAAGGAACATAGCAGCCGACATCAAGTAATCGACGAGAACGGAACTCCGTGAAAGGCTACACGTAAAAGGATCATCAGGCTTTTTCACGAATCTCATGGCTCGCGAGCCGGCTATTCTCTCTATTCAATTCATTCTCTCTCTCTCTCTCTCTGCTTCTCTCTCGCTCTCTTTCGTCTCCCGTGGAACTTTAACGGTAGCGCGAACTAATTCTCGGCCAATCTCGCGCGACTGTCATGAAACTTGCATGGGAGAAATTGGAAGACGATTGAACGCTACCCGGCGCGGCGCGCGACTCTGCTTATACGAACCAACTCGTCCTGAAAGAGCGCCGCGATATTTGGGCTTCTTCAATTCGAACCCGCGCGAACCGGCAGCGGTGAAGGAGGAGGAGGAGGGGCAAGGGCAGGAGAGAACTCGCGTTTAAGAAGAGAGCCTGCTGTTTGTTTTCACGATCATTGACCCGTACGTACTCGGTGTGTACTTGAAGTCCGGACTCGCCATCGAGAAGAGCGATCGCACGCCGGTCGTGCGCGACTCTCGACGCCGCCGCGCCGCACGCGCGAATTCCGCGGATCACCGCGCAGTCGGACAACACACTGTGCGGGCAACTTCACTCGGCCGTCTCCTGCCGTCAGGGCGGAAATATCAGGTTACCGGTCCAAATCTTATCTGACGGCCTCGATGAGATATCGAGGGAAGATAATTTTCACTGGCGAGAGTACACGATGATGAAACGACCTCGGGGCGAGTTTCCCACCGCAATCGCTCGGCTTGATCGTTTGAGTCGTTTACGGGCGTAATAATGACGAAGCGAGAGGGAAACGAGGAAATAGTGCGCGAAATCCACGCGGCGATCGCCGCGATAGAGCCATGAAGTCCACCCGGCTACCTACTGATGTGTGCATCCGATGCACGCGGTGCTGCAGCAACCGCGTGCATCGGACGAAGTCGCGAGTGTGAATGACGAGTGTGAAACCGTCCGCGTGGAATCGCGCGCTGTTACGTTACTATTACGAGTCGCATGATGCTTCCGAAGTCTTTTGGATGACGATGTCCTTGAGTTGATTTACGTGTAGCCTTCCACGGAATTCCGTTCTCGTCGATTACTTGATGTCGGCTGCTATGTTCCTTCCGGAAGGATTCTGGAGTCCTTATGCCTTTTTCCTCGAGAACTGTAGTCCGTTCGTCGGGGGTTGATCGGTCAATCGGATCTCAGGATGTTAGCAGGCTCTGACTGTAATATGCTCGACGTCCCTGGCTGAGTCCACTGATTTGGGATTGCGGCTGACCTTGAGTTTTCTGCTTCATTAATTTTTGCGACTAATGAAGTTTTCTCGACTCAATTTCCTCAAGCTCAACTGCTTGTCCTCTCGATGATAACTTAGTCTTTTAACAGTCTTCTTAATGTCTGTCTCTTCTTATGCGTTCCTTCCACGTGTCGTTTTTATTTCGTCTTCTTGATCCCACCGCTGCCACCAATTGTTACGTTTGCCACAGCTTATGATGCGGCGAAACGAATATTGGGAAGGAACGAGAAATCAGCTTTTATGCCTCCGACTGTTAACTGACTTTATTTTATAATTCTCAACAAGAGTGTAATACCGCTCGAGAGAGAGAGAGACTAGGTGTTCGCTTGAGGAGTGCTAGCAGGGAACTGATTTGTTGAGCATGGGAAAAATAACGGTAAGGAAGGGAAGGGAAAAGATAAAATTTCCGCGTGGGTAGTTATGGTTGATGATGAGAGATTCGGCAGGAATTCGGGGATATGTCATCTATTAGTTTGTTATTTTAGGATAATATCGGTCATCAGGATTAGATAAGGCAGGTATGGAGGAATATACGTCGTGGTCGCTGTTGCGATTATTCACATAAGATAATACAACTATATACATTGCGGCACATAACAACGGTCGCTCAGCCCGGATACATATATGCATTCGCGCGATTGGTCGATCGCGATACCTACCGTCATATCGCGCTTGATCGTCGCTCCATATTCTGCACGCAGGACGGGACAATAAAATCGCAACGATATCGATCGCGGTCGCGGCGGCGGCGGCGGCGGCGGCGGCGGCGGCGTAGATCGCTTCCTCGATCTCTTCTGTCGTCGGTTGCGTCGACGAAACGCCTACTCGCGGAATTATGCAGTAGGTACGCGAGAGCGAGAGTAGCGGTACCGTGCGTGTGCTTTACTCGTTCGCACGCGCCGGCGAATATCGCCGCGCGTTCGGGACACCGCTAGAATTCCGTCTGGTCCAGTTTTCGGGCGTGAGCCGCGCGCGAGCTAGTTACGTCCGGACGCGACGATCCGTTTCTCCTCCTTCTTCCTTCGTCTCGCACGGGCGCGCACGTAGGCGTCGCCCGTACGAGACACCGGTGTGTATTGAAGAATTGTTATTGTTAACTTATTGTCGGGCTGTCGGGCGCAGCGAGATAAAGTCACTCGCTGCAGAGTGAATTTAACAGTTTCGCGATAAGATAATGGCTCGCGATTTGCAGGTTAACGAGCTAATACGCAGTTCGTCGTCGCCGAAAAACGGCGCAGCGCGTCGCGGCCGGTCGATCACGCGACTCGAATGGAGAGTCCAGTCGCGGATGAGGGAACGCGCTCCTCAGTCCTTCGCCCTTCAGCAATGCCACCGTGCACTCGTCATGCGTTACTCACCCAGAGATCGTCCAAAGTGATGGAATTGTCCGTGTAGAAAACGAGCACCTCGGCCGCAAGCGGCGATGTCTCGCGCAGTTTTGATGCCAGCAGGAGGCAGGCGGTGCCGAGCAGCTGCAACTGCGACTTCCTGATCGGGCAGATCGAGAGGAACCTGTCGACGTAGTTCATCGACAGGGGAAAGACCTCGTCCTGGCACTTCTGCTCCTCGCATACCTGCGAACAGGACGAAAGAACCGGAGATCAGACCGGCGTAGCGCAACGCCGCGCGGCGCGAGCTCGCGTGACAGGGCGGCGGGATCGCGCGCGCTTCAAGGCCGCGATCGGAGCGGTCGCGATAACGTCCGATACGCGACGGACGCGGCGAAGCCCCGGCGGCGGGTTTCGCGAGTAGTTTACACGCTTAGCGAGTGGCGAACGAAACGAACTCTCAGCGAGAGTCTCGATCGTAGCGAGATCGATCGGCCGCGTCTTCGGCGGAATCGATTCCGACCGAAAGAGCCGCGGCTCTCTCTCTCTCTCTCTCTCTCTCTCTCTCTCTCTCTCTCTCTCTCCCTCTCTCTCCCTCCCTCTCTCTCCCTCTCTCTCTCTCTCTCTCTCTCTCTCTCTCTCTCTCTCTCTCTCTCTCTCATTCCGGCTCGAAAATTCATTTCTCTTTTTTCTCTATTTCTCTTTTTCTCTTATAAGTCATTCGGTTTTCCCGCTGCTGGTTGACCGGAGGGCTCGCGTGGTTTGTCGAAAGCAACCACCTATGTGAAGCTGGACCCCATTATCAAAAGTTGAAAAAAATGATGAGAGTTCCAGTTGCCCCCCGAAGAGTTCTAGAGTTCTCAATCGGTTTTACAAATAGTTCTGGCGTTTTAAGCAGTCAAAAAGGCAATTGAAAAAAGAGGGGGCCAACTTCACAAAACCGTCCACTTTAGCGAGCTAGAAATCTTTCATTTCCGCCCGAATCGATTCAAGTCATAAGCAAAATCGATAGAACTCTTCGGGGGGCCACCAGAACTCTAAAGAAACTGACCGATTTTCGAAAAAAATTTTTTCCTATTTGGACTTAGAAACTTTTGTCGAAAATCGATCAGTTTCTTTAGAGTTCTGGTGGCCCCCCGAAGAGTTCTATCGATTTTCCTCATGACTTGAACCGATTCGAGCGGAAATGAAAGAGTTCTACCTCATCAAAATATCGCCGATGTCGAATTTTCTAAGTCCAATTAAGAGAAAATTTTTTTTTCAAAAATCAGTTTCTTTACAGTTCTGGCAGCCCCCCGAAGAGTTCTATCGATTTTCCTCATGACTTGAACCGATTCGAACGGAAATGAGAGAGTTCTAGCTCATCAAAATATCGCCGATGTCGAATTTTCTAAGTCCAATTAAGAGAAAATTTTTTTTTCGAAAATCGGTCAGTTTCTTTAGAGTTCTGGTGGCCTCCCGAAGAGTTCTATCGATTTTGCTTATGACTTGAATCGATTCGGGCGGAAATGAAAGAGTTCTAGCTCATCAAAGTATCGCCGATGTCGAATTTTCTAAGTCCAATTAAGAGAAAACATTTTTTTCGAAAATCTGTTTCTTTAGAGTTCTGGTAGTCCCCCGAAGAGTTGTATCGATTTTCCTCATGACTTGAATCGATTCGAGCGGAAATGAAAGAGTTCTAGCTCATCAAAGTATCGCCGATGTCGAATTTTCTAAGTCCAATTAAGAGAACATTTTTTTTCGAAAATCGGTCAGTTTCTTTAGAGTTCTGGTGGCCCGCCGAAAAGTTCTATCGATTTTCCTCATGACTTGAACCGATTCGAGCAGAAATGAAAGAGTTCTAGCTCATCAAAGTATCGTCGATGTCGAATTTTCCAAGTCCAATTAAGAGAACATTTTTTCTCGAAAATCGGTCAGTTTCTTCAGAGTTCTGGTGGCCCCCCGAAGAGTTCTATCGATTTTCCTCATGACTTGAACCGATTCGAGCGGAAATGAAAGAGTTCTAGCTCATCAAAATATCGCCGATGTCGAATTTTCTAAGTCCAATTAAGAGAAAATTTTTTTTTCGAAAATCAGTTTCTTTACAGTTCTGGCAGCCCCCCGAAGAGTTCTATTGATTTTCCTCATGACTTGAACCGATTCGAGCGGAAATGAAAGAGTTCTAGCTCATCAAAGTATCGCTGATGTCGAATTTTCTAAGTCCAATTAAGAGAAAATTTTTTTTTCGAAAATCGGTTTCTTTAGAGTTCTGGTAGCCCCTCGAAGAGTTCTATCGATTTTCCTCATGACTTGAACCAATTCGAGCGGAAATGGAAGAGTTCTAGCTCATCAAAGTATCGCCGATGTCGAATTTTCTAAGTCCAATTAAGAGAACATTTTTTTTCGAAAATCGATCAGTTTCTTTAAAGTTCTGGTGGCCCCCCCAAAAGTTCTATCGATTTTCCTCATGACTTGAACCGATTCGAGCGGAAATGAAAGAGTTCTAGCTCATCAAAGTATCGCCGATGTCGAATTTTCTAAGTCCAATTAAGAGAAAATTTTTTTTTCGAAAATCTGTTTCTTTAGAGTTCTGGTAGCCCCCCGAAGAGTTCTATCGATTTTCCTCATGACTTGAACCGATTCGGGCGGAAATGAAAGAGTTCTAGCTCGCTAAAGTGGACGGTTTTGTGAAGTTGGCCTCCCCTTTTTTCAATTGCCTTTTTGACTGCTTAAAACACCAGAACTATTTGTAAAACCGATTGAAAACTCTGGAACTCTTCGGGGGGCAACTGGAACTCTCATCATTTTTTTCAAATTTTGATAATGGGGCGCCAGCTTCACATAAGTAAAGCAACCACGATCGTGGAGTGGGCCGAACCGTTGGGGTTTCTCATCGAAACTCCCTCGGCGCAATCTAAACTAACGACCCGACTCGCGTCTGAATCGCCATTTTTTTTTATTTATCGTTCGAGTTTCCTGCTGATGTTGATCGAGAATTCGCGAGCGACGGTATTTGCAAGCGCGAGGCACATGAAATCGCGATCTTCGGGACACTGTTTATCCTCCTTCTTGATTTTCCTCATTTTCCCAAAGGGCGTCTTGGGGGACATCTATAGAGTGAAAAGCCACGTATTTTCGCGCCACGTATTTGCATAATCACTGCGACTGACATAGGCGTAGGCACGCCCGGGTATCGCACCGGATTTCCTCCGATCGCATTTTAACGAGCGCATGGCCACCAACGGTCGCGGGTCGATCGCCTTGGTCGCGCAGGTCGGGGAACTTTTCGACTTCAGGTTCTCTCTTTCTCCCTCTGCCTCTCCTTCTCGTCGGCCGAACTTTGCCGCTCGAAGCCCGACGATCCTGACGTTCGGCGCTCGCGGATCTTTCCAGGATTCCCACAGCTTCTCGAGAAGCCTCTCCGAGAGAGACCAAAAAAGAAAGAAAGTGAGAGAGAGAGAGAGAGAGAGAGAGATCATGATTCATGAAACGAAAGAGAATTCCCGTCGCGCCTTATCGCTGTAATTTATCGCGCGCATCGAGCGCGCAATCACGACCAACGAAACGAATCGTGCGTCGCGATGGCCAAGCATCTCGGACCGAGACCGGGCGTCTCTTTGAAGTTCGGGGACCACTGAATTACGGCAGGATCGCGAATTAGCTCCGCCAGAGCGCTTCGGGGTGCCGAGGCGACGGACGAACGAACGAACGAACGAACGAACGAACGAACGAACGAACGAACGAGCGAACGAACGAGCGAACGAACGAACGAACGAACGAACGAACGAACGAGCGAGCGAACGAACGAACGAACGAGCGAACGAACGAACGAACGAACGAACGAACGAACGAACGAGCGAACGAACGAACGAACGAGCGAACGAACGAGCGAACGAACGAACGAACGAACGAACGAACGAACGAACGAACGAACGAACGGTCGTCGTCGAGGCGCGAGAGAAAAACTTATTGAGCGTGACCAACGATCGCCAGCCCTCGGCCGCACGCATGCACGCATGTACGCGTGTATAGGCTCACGCACGCATGCACCCTCTCGTAATTACCCCGCCGCCACCACCAATTAGCAGCAGCGGCTTAACGAAATAATCGCGCTACACGTCGGCGAAAATCATATGTAAGGCCGGTCTCGCCGGAGAGAAAAAGAAAGGGAGAAGAAAGAGAGCCGAAGAGAAAGAGGTAGGCAAGCAGGCAGGAGAAGGTGAGGGAGGGAGATCGAACGAAATCGCTCTTCGAGAGCATAATCGTGCATCTGTTCAAACATCGACGAAAGCCGATCGAAACGAAGTCAGGGGCGAAGGAGAAGCCAGGGAATTCAGGAGCGGCGGAACGAAGCTCGCGCGAGTCGGCGACGGCGGAGGATCCCCAAGAGGCGACCAAGAGGTTCTTCTCTTGGGTGCTTGTTCGCGCGACCGTATCGCGACGTGATATTCTGTTTGCAGCGTTACAAAATGTACTCGAGCGCGATTGAGCTCGTCAAATGCGATATGAAATATTCCTTGTTGATGAAAAAGGAGCGTCGTGAGACGTCTCCAACCATGTGTGTGCGTATGTGTGTGTGTGTGTATCACGGAATAATACTGGTCTCGGTAACGCGATGTCACGCAAGCAGCACTCACGCGCAGAACTCTTCCTGCTTTCGCATTTTGCGCGGATAAGAAGCGCGCGGTTAATTCACGCTGAGTTTTCATGACACACGATTGCGTTCGCTTAACCCGCGAACGGCGATTTCTCGCTCGCGAGAGTTCGAGGACGAGCTGATCGACTGGGACAATTAGCGAAAGTCATTGCGCCGAAACGTGACTCCGCATTTGCATGCGCGATCCACATTTTAATTGCTAATCGATAAAGCAACGTCTCGGCCGGCTCCGCAAGAGAGAGAGAGAGAGAGAGAGAGAGAGAGAGAGAGAGAGAGAGAGAGAGAGACGAGCAGCCCCGCGAGGAATTCTATTACTCTTATCTGCGTGACTTTATCGAACTCGCTGATCTTTCATAAGTTCGGCGCCAATTAAGCAGAATTCCCGCCGATAAAAGCCGGCCGGCCGGTGTTATGTCTCTCTTTCTCGTGCATTGATGATAATCGAGAGACGGAGGCGCGCATCGCGCGCGCGCCACCTCCTCGTCCCGGACGTTTTCGCTCGCAAAGGATAAGGAATCCGCAGGAGGACTCTCGAACGGAGGAAGTTCGGAAACCGGTCGACAAATCCCGATCGGCCGGCCTCGGGTTTGCGCGAGCCGATAACTCAACA